TTAAAAGTGATGATAAAAGTGCTAATAATCCTAAACCTGTGAAGAATAGCCCCAACAAAAGGACTAGTAGTACGAGTGGCGTTGGAAGTAGTGAAGGGGTATCTGAGCCACCGTTTTGCAAGTATTTGAATATCGAATTGTGTACTAAAGAGGGAAAGACTGATAGAAAGGCAACCGTTTTGTTGGAGAACCCGATCGGAGAGTACATTACGAGTGGACACGAATTGGATAGAAATGTAATTGAATTATTTTTTTGATTTAATGAACTATAAGTTAACTGTTAACTCAATGTTTTTGTGTGATTTTAATGCTGGTATGATATTTAGTTAAAATGTAAATGTTTACTAAATTATTTTTTTATTTTGTTTTACAGATAAGAGTAGCTTTCGGTGAAAACTCAAAGTTTTCGTTATTCACAACACGAGATAAATCCAAAGAAATTGATTTAAATTTATATAACAAAAATGGATTGAATTTATGCGGAGAACTGAGCGGCAAAACAGTGTTTGCATTCTACCATTGATTTAAACTAAAATTATTGATTGTACCGTATATTTATTTTGCAGTTTTATTAAATAAATAAAATAAAAAGAATTTGTCATACAATTAGTTTTTACCGTAATTAAAAATAATACTGTATTTATAATCTAATCAAAATTAAATTTCTATATACCATTAAATAAATATTTCTAAAGAATATACCCTATAAAGTGATTTTTTTATTACCGTAATAAATATGTTATTTTAACATAAGTTAGATTATTTTGTAAAATTTATTATTTTATCCAATAATTTAATTAAAACTTGATACAATTTGGTAATAAAAGGTAACTGGTACAATTTAATGTTTGTACTGTATGTATAGAATATGATTGCCATAATTCCCATGCCATGATTACCAATAATATAATGATATAATGGGGTTATTGTAGGTATTAAATATATTTATTAAAATTTATGAATATTTATTAAAATATATGCAAATATACAATACTGTATGAATTTACTAAATTATAAAAATATAATGAATGCACAGTGAAATCATTTTAATATTGTATTAAATATAAATTTTATTAAAAAAATAATTACAATGAAATTGAAATGTAACAAAACTAATAATGAATGATAAAACTAAGTTCAAACAACTTCCCATCCCTTCCGGTGCCTCAGATTGGATCCGATGAATGAGAGGACAACCGGAAGACAGACGAGTCCGTGAAGAGCACCGATCAATACAATCGATAAATACATCCGAAAGTAGAAGATCTTGAATATGTTGGACGACGCGAACCCCAGAACCAGAATTCCCCAGAATTTGGTG